GAACGCCAGTGATATGGTTATCCGGGCGGCTCGGGAATTCAAGTGTTCAGTATGCGACGGCGGGAAGCAGCCTCTGTCGGCACGTCTGGCTGCGCCGCTGACGGCGGCTTCCTCGAGGCTGCTCAAGATGGACGTCCGGGCGATGAGGGGGTGGCTCGGGGCGATGAAGGTAAAGTGGCTGGACGTCTTGCGCGCCTCAAGTGCGCCGCAGCCGATGGCGCCTTTCTTCGAGCCCGAGACGGGTGAGGTCCTCCGCCGGCGTCTGTGTGAACATTCGATTCGGCCCTACGGCTCACCCAAGGTCATCAGGCTTGATGCGAGCAAGGTCAACTGCGGCCAGAGGCTGATGGACGATGTGGATAGCCAGGGCATCGAGGCGCACGGCGCTGCAGGCGAGGCTCGCGAGCAGATCGGTCGCGCGCAGCTGCATGGTCAATCTACCGAAGACATCCACAACAAGGTGTGCGATCGTGTAGTCGAGATGCCAAGGAGAGGTGGCTGGCTTGTCTTGATGCGGCTACTGTGGCGAAGAATTCTGTTCTGAGAAGGCGCGGTCGTTCTCCGCGTCAAATTGCGATTGGCCAGGCCCAGAGGCGCCGGCCGACCTGCTGCGGGATTATCCAGACTTCGCGGCATCAGGGATGGCGTTGAAGGAGGAGTCTATTGAGTGTGCCGATAGTCAGCCAGGATGGAGGTGCTCAAGAGGATGGGTGACCGAGCCGCGCGCGCAGCTCCGGACCTTCGATCCCGCGCCCTATCAATTTGCCCCTGGAGATCGCGCGGCAGCACGGCGACGAGGCCGAGGTATACTTAGGAAGAAAGCTCATGCTCGATGGCGAGGGACCGGCTTCAGCATCCCCCCTGCGCGGGGCAACCGCTGGGCCGCGATGCCTGGCGAGGTGCGAAGGCGTCCCCCAGAGCAGCTGAGGATGGCCACGGAGGAGGAGAAGCTTGCCGAGGAGGTGGTTCGACCTGAGCTGCAGACGTCGGCTCGGGAGTTTATGTCCGGCGCAGGTCCCCAGTGGGGCTGCTTGGACATCCCCGAGGAGGGTGGCCCGCCGGCCAGCGAGGACGCCAATCTTCCAGCGCCTCCTGTGGTTGCGCCGAACCAAGCTGGAGAACCGGATGGTCGATGAATTGCTGTCGCACTTGTTCAACCTCTTGTGTCCGAGGAGGCTGCGGACCCTGAGCCTAGTTAGCCTGGGGATGCTCCGCCGGAATTACCGCAGCTCCCACCTCGTCGTCATCTTCCGAGAGGACTGGCCAGGCAGTTGGAGGTATCACCTATCCTACGAGCCTGCATCCTCCACCCGCTGCGGTCAGAGAGCCAAGAACGTTCAACCCCAGCTGCGAGTGCAACCTGGGGTGCGGGTTTCTCCTTGCCACGAGACCATCGCCCTGGGTTCCACTCATTTCGGTTTTCGACAACTGTCACGCGTGGTTGCACATCTTTCGTTCGTTGTTTTTCGACGTAGGAAGGAACCTTCACCCTTGGTTGCACGTGTAATTTTTCAGGTGGTTCACCTGGGGTTGCACATCAAGGTTCCCCCAGGAACCTTCACCCCAGGTTGCGCACGCATCTGGGGTTGCACGTTTTTCGCCTCCCGATGCGGCTTTCAAAGGCGGAGCTGAAGTTCGCCTCGAAGTGCTGTTGCGACGAGAGCAGGCTCTTCGATGGCGCCCGGCTGAGCTCTCTGACGAGGCCCTCGCTGCGGAGGAGTCCGTAGTGGTGCATTCATAACGGCAAGGCAATGTTGGCAGCTGGTATTCACACGGAGTGGAACAGCGCGCGCACGGACAAGTAGGCCCTCCTGCTTGCTGAGCTCAGAGAAGTATGCGAAGATCCGTCGTGTGTGTCCAGGTCGAGTGTTAGGAAGCCGTGTGATCATGACTTCGAGTTGGATGACAGTTGCCAGGAGATTTGCTTGTGCGGCTAATGATGTTGTAATATTGAGTTGTTATCCAATTGGCTCGTGAACGGAAGCCTTCATCACCTGCGCTCTCCCACAATGGCAAAGTGGCCGCGTGCCAACTTCTAGCATCGAACAGGTTCCGGATGAGAATAGCGGATGCTTCTGGAGCTTTTCTGGAATCAGACGAGCTCAAGAGGCCGACGGGCAAGATCTGTTCTCGACAGCCGAGCGTCGGGATGCCAGGGCTGGCGCTAGACCAGATCTTGGAGGTCGCGAAACACATCTACGGCCTGACTGGCTGTCCTGCGACGCGGGGGCAAAAGTTTCGATCTACGCTACTGCAGTGGAGGCCTGAGTCGGGGGGGCTCAGGGCTGGTCCAGTCGAGAATGGGCACATGCATCTTCTACCGTTACGAAGAGACCACTGCTACGCATGTGGGTGATATCCTCTCCGGAGGCAGTGGTGAAAAGCATTGTTGTGCGATCCAACATGTTCGTGATGTCTTTCCTGGTCGCAAGTGATGCGTGGTTCAGGGTGTGTTATGTGGGTCATCGTTGTGGCAGGACCTCTAGTCTTCCGATCTGCTCATATCTCAGCACGGCGTCGCCGCCCAGGTGAGGCCTGCTGGGGTTCTACCCCGATGCCCACGTGTCCTTCCAACCACGGAGACGGGTAGATCTAGTGCGCATGCGACGTTGGGAGCTGGAAACTGGCTGGCCAAAGGGGGGCTCTCAGACATTTCTGCGCAGGTTGCCATGGGCCAATCGATCTTGCCCCAACCCGCGGCAGGGCAGGCGGGACACGCAAATGCTCTTGGTCGACGGGTAAAGCAGTTCAGTGCGGTGCGATGACGAATGGGACGCACACCTCTAAACCGTCTCCGACTGGTTTTTCATGCTGACGCGTCGAATCAAAAGACTGCGAACTTCAGAACTCAAGCTGTAAATATAACTGCCGCTGCCGACGATGCGATGATCGGTGCCCATCTCGCCCCGTGGAGTCCACTGTTCTGGCGCAGCCATCGTTTACGCTGAGTCACTGCATCCACCCTGGCGGCAGAGGCCCGCGCGCAGATGGATGCGCTTGGACACTTGGAATTGTTGGCGCGCCATTTCCTGGAGGCCCTGGACCCGGCGTTGTCCCATGACGCTCGTTCTGAATATCTACCTCGTTTGGGGCCGATTGCGGCGACGGGCTGTAAGTGATTACATGGCCATATGGTATCATGTAGTAGTGCAGTGGCGGCGACGGATAACCGGGCAGCTCTGAGCCTGCTGATCATTCAGGAGACGTGAAACGATTGGGAGCCACAGTGAGATGGACACCTGCTTACTACACTACAGTCAGCAGATCGACTCACCAAGGATACGGCTGCTGAGGCTTCTGACTTGACGCGAGCTACTCTGGTGACGGGGGAATGCCAAGTGGCGGACGAACCGACCGCGCTTGCTGCTTCTGCTCGAGAGGGGATCGTAGACGGCAGCTGTCGGCTCAAGTCAGATCTTGCTCGTCAGCGACCGCCTTCTTTCTCCAAGACTTGTTTGCCCATGGTCAAGTTCCAAAAGGCTCTGTCCGACATCGAGGTGCGAAGTTTCCTCGAGGGGTTGGTTTCGGGTCCGAGCTCTGTCGTTGACGCGACAGGAAAGTGCCAAGTGACAGCGACGATGGTGGTGCTGTCAAGCCACGACGGCGTTCCGGCTTTATCGCCATCCAAACCAAGATTGCGGTCGAGGACGAGCCTTTCAAGATGGTCAAGGCCCTCGACGGAGTGCACGAGAAGCTGATGAAGGGAGAGGTCGTGCCGTCACCGGGCGGAGGGGAGCAGGCAGTGAAGACGTTTCGTTATCCGCCGTGGGGTGACTACGAGGAGTTCAAGACTCCTGAGAAGCCCGGGGGAGACGATTGGACACTGGCCGAGAGTCGTCTGCGCACGCATGTTCCGAAGGATGAGAGCTACCATCTGGGGATCCAATCCATTTGTGATTATGCCAACGCTGAGCTCAGTGACCACCCACTCTTCCGTAAGAAGCTGATTCACATTCTCGTGAAGGATCTCCGAGCTCCAGGCAATTACGCTGAAGAGGATGATGTCCAAGAGTTCCCGAAGATCGAGGGCCGGGTCAAGTCCGAGGGTCGTTCAAGCAGCTCGAGCAGCTTCCCAGGTCACCGCGGATTTTAGGATTGCGACGATTGCTGATCCGAGGGGCCCCATTGAGGTTAGTAGGTGATGGGGAGCCTGCTCAGAGTCAGTAAAGGATCGCCTCGCGGGTGTGCTCGCGTGCGTGCTCGCGTGCTTTCTCGTGACAGCCATTTCGGCTGGTTTCAGGTGAGAAGGACCCCAGCCTTCCTTCAGAGGGGTCATCTGCACAATGGGCCACAAAACATTGTACTGGGTGGGGAAACGCACGTGGACCTTGCCACTGGGACCTTCGGTGGGGCCCCCCATGGGCCACGAAACGCTGTGCTGGGTGGCGAAGACGGCCTTTGGTGGAGCTCCCTGTGGGCCGCGAAACTTTGCACTGGGTGGGGGAGACGCGTATAACGCCTGTCACTGGCGCCTTCGGTGGATCTCCCGATGGGCCACGAAACGATGTACTGGGTGGCGGAGACGCATGTGGACCCTGCCGCTGGGGCCTTCGGTAGAGCTCCCCATGGGCTACGGAACGCTGTACTGGGTGGGGGAGATGCGTGTTGACCCTGTCAGTCGGGCCTTACGTAGGAGGAGCGCTCTGTGGGGCCACGAAACGTGTGAGGGGTGCGCCAGAATCATTGACGCGCGGAGGGCAGAGGCAAGAGTGGAAGGAGGGAGGAGCGGAAAGAGGAAGGTGAGGTGGGACGCGGGGAGTTCTCTCTTCAAAACGAGGGCCCACCACAAATTGTCGGGACAAATCCTGACGTCAAGGGCCTGGGTCCTCCTTTTCCTCCTCCTCCTCCTCCTTCTCTTCTTCTTCCTCGAGGACGAGGAGGAGGAGGAGGAGGAGGAGGAGGAAGAGGAGGAGGAGGAGGAGAAGGAGGAGGAGGAGGATGAGGAAGAGGAGGAGGAGGAAGAGGAGGAGGAGGACGACGACGCAGTTGCTCCGCCCAAGGAGCGGCGCAAGCCGCTGGCGGCGGACTCCAGATCGCGCACGATGGTGTTCTGAGGCCGAGCGCCTCGGCCGCGAGTTCTCGGCCGCGGGCCCGGCGAGGCGGCGCCCGCAGCAGGAGTCGCGCTCGCGCCTCCGTTGCGGGCCGGCGGCGCCCCTGCCGCCCGTTGCTGCTCTTCCCCGGAGATCCGACGCTCCAACATCAGGAAGGGAAAAAACACACAGACACAATGAATCGTCGATTCCCCAGAAAATATGGGAAAATATGGGAAGTGGGGGGGAAGACAACAACCCAGAAAATACAGGAAAATATGGGAGATCCTTTTATTTGTGTGTATTTATGTGTGTGTCCTGGGGCCCCTTCACAGCAAAAAAGTGGAGCGGCGGGATTTTTTCAGTTGTCGGCCTCGTGGGGCCCTCGCCCGGCCTCGGGAGCGTCAAAAGACGGGTCAGGACGAAGAACTGGTCCCCGAGAAGTGGTCTGGTTCTCAGGGGACCGCGCATCGGAAAAATTGGAGCGGCCGGATGTCTGGATCCTCCCCGCGTCGCCGGGGGGGAATTGGGGTTTGACCCGAAGGAGAAAAATGCCATAAACATGAGTTGTTAGTGTCCCGCGCGGATTTATCGGATCTGCGCTGGACCCCCTCCTTTTTTGTTCCTCTTTTGACATCGCAGGCGATTTTTCTCCCCTAATCCCCGAGCTCCGCTCGAAAGGTTTGGTCGCTCAGAGGGCGGGGGAGAGCCTGGGATGCGTCCCAAGGGGGCTGTTTGGACGCACCCCTTATCGAGGGTGGGCGCGCCCTCATCACACGTCCCGGGGCTGGACCCAGAATTGATGGTCCAGTCGAAGACACCGCGAAGCCTTGGATGCGGGCCGACATATCCCATGCTATGACCGGGTCCAGGTCTCGAGGACGTCATTGAGCACAACACGGTCTCCCTAACCCCACTCACGGTATGATCCCCTGGCTCAGCTTCGGCCCCCGGTTTCTAGGGATAGCCCTCAGCATGCGGGTGGCTTCGTTTGACGCGCCTGCAAAACAAGATTATTGATCCCACCTGTTGCGCAGAGCAACGTCGTAGGCCTAGAGGTTGACACCAACGCCAATGTCGGCGGTGTGCCTCCACCGAGGGAGGAAGATCCCGATCTCGGCGATGGTGGAAATAATCGGGCCTCCGAGGTGACCGAACTATTACCACCGACACCGAAATCGAGGATCACCTTCCCCCTGTGGAGGCAACCCCCTGTGCTGGTGCTGGTGCCAATCTCCAGGCCTCCAACAGCGGGCCGTCTTCACCGACGCTGGCGCGCGGGCCGCTGGCGTCGGGTCGCACGTACACGCGCCCCCTTCTCCGCGCGGTGCCCCCCGCGCAGCTGGGCGGCGGCGCCCCTGCCGCGCCTGCGTCGGGAGGGGAAGCAACTCACACAGGCACAATCATTGTCGATTCCCAGGAAGAGATTGGGAAAATATGGGAAGTGGGGGGTGGAAGGCAACAACCGTGAAAACCAGGGAATCCATTGTGAATCCTGTCACTTGTGCCGATTTCTCTGTGTGTCCCGGGGCCCCTTCATGGAGGTCGACGGGGCCCAGGTCTCCCGTATTCGACGAACACAAAACGGCAGACGGTCGAGGTTGATGAGCAGGTCGACCTTGCCAAATCAAGGGCACCTTCGTGTCCTGTGTTTCGCGCCCGCTTTCCAGAGTCCTGTGGCAACGTGGTCATCGGAAGGGTCTTGTGTCCTCTCGTGTGTCTTCTCCAATCAGCCTCGGCGGTAAACACGATTTCTCGGAGCTCATGCAGACTTCTTGAGTCGGCATCGGGACGCCTGGCGGCGCCTCTGGCGCCGCCCTTGGCACGCCCCGCGATCCAGCGAGGGGTGCCCAGCGACGATCCAGGAGATCCGCGCGGACCTCCGATAAGTCATGATTATGTTATGGTTGTTCCCAACCATCCTGTGGTGTTCGGTCCACGTTTTGAAGAGACAGCGCCCCGCGTTCCTCACTCCTCCTTCCTCCTCCCCCTCCTCCCTCATCATCATCATCATCATCAGCATCATCATCATCATCATCAGCATCATCATCATCATCATCATCACCATCACCATCACCATCACCATCACCATCACCACCACCATCATCATCATCATCATCATCAGCAGCAGCAGCAGCATCAGCATCATCATCACCATCATCATTATCGTCATCATTATCCGCATCATCCTCATCATCATCGTCATCAGCATCATCATCATCAGCAGCAGCAGCATCATCACCATCATCATCATGTACAGCATTTCGTGGCCCCGCAGGGAGATCCACCGATGGTCCCAGTGGCGCAGTTCTCTTGCGTCTTCCCCACCCAGTGCAGCGTTTCGTGGCCCCATAGGGAGCTTCACCGAAGGTCCCAGTGCCGCAGTTCTGATGCGTTTTCCCCACCCAGTGCAGCGTTTCGTGGCCCCAGAGGGAGCTCCGTCGAGGGTCCCAGTGGCGCAGTTCGCATGCGTCCACCCCTCCCAGTGCAGCATTTCGTTGCTACAGAGGGAGATCCACAAACGGCCCCAGTGCCGCAGTTCGCATGCGTCCCCCCCGCCCAGTACAGCGCTTCGCGGCCCCATGGGGAGCTCCGCCGACGGCTCCAGTGCCGCAGTTCGCATGCGCCCCCCCCACCCAGTACAGCGCTTCATGGCCCCATGGGGAGCTCCACCGAAGGTCCCAGTGGCGCAGTTCGCATGCGCCCCCCCCACCCAGTACAGCGTTTCGTGACTCCAGAGGGAGCCGTGCCGGAGGTCCTAGTGGCGCATGTCGCCTGCGTCTCCCCAGCCCAGTACAGCGTTTCGTGGCCCCATAGGGACCGCCACCCAGTACAGCGCTTCGAGGCCCCATAGGGAGCTCCACCGAAGGTCCCAGTGGTGCAGTTCGCATGCGTATTGCCCACCCAGTACAGCGCTTCGTGGCCTCATGGGGAGATCCACCAACGGCCCCAGTGGCGCAGTTCGCATGCGTCCCCCCCTACCCAGTGCAGCGTTTCGTGGCCCCAGAGGGAGCTCCACCGAGGTCCCAGTGGCGCAGTTCGCGAGAGTCTTCTCCACCCAGTGCAGCGCTTCGTGGTTCCACAGGGAGCTCCACCGAAGTTCCCAGTGGCGCAGTTCGGATGTCTCTCCCCCGCCCAGTACAGCGTTTCGTGACCCCATAGGGAGCTCCACCGAAATTCCCAGTGGCGCAGTTCGGCTGCGTCCCCCCCACCCAGTACAGCGCTTCGTGGCTCCATAGGGGGGCTTCCATTGGCAAATTCGCGTGCGTCTCGCCCTGCACAGCGTTTCGTGGCTAGGGAGCTCCACGGAAGATGATGCTCACAATTGCGGCATTCGCAATTGCATGTGGTTGGGTCCTTCGCCAGGCAAGTCTTTCTGACGGGTGGAGATCCGGGCCTCGCAGATGGGATCCGAGCAGTTCCGAGTCTCACGTGACGGTGGTTTGCGCTGACAGGGGTCAGCCAACCTCCTCTGGCCGACCCCGGTTTGGGGGCCACGAAAGGGGGCCCGCTCTCCGCCGACCCGCGTTTGGGAGCTGCTCGGGGGCGGGCTTGGCTTCGCGACAGGGCCCTGGCCGACCCGGGTTTGCGCTGACGCTGGCTGGCGCGTCCCCGACAGGACGAGGTCACAAGAATGATGCGCTCCAGGAGTTCCAGCATGTCCTAAAACCCATCATTTTCCACACTGGAAAGAGGGCCGCCAGATACTCTGGAAATCCTGGAGCATAGCCCGTGCCAGCTTTATCATGACATCCCCGTCCTAAGTATGAATGGAGTCGGGTGATCGCGCCGCATCGCCGATGTCTCAGCGATGCGGCTCGATGTGGAGCCCCATTTCATCCATGTCGACAGCGCCGATGCATCGCCCGCGTCAACGAGCATGGATCATGCATCGGCGATGCGGCACAACCTCCCGACAGCATCTATTCGGACCCCACCTGAGAGGCTTCGATTATCGCCATGGAGGATCGGAGGTAGGTGGAAATCGAGGAAGAGGACACGACGTGGATCGATTTGAGGGGTGCTAGAAAAGGGGTCTGTCCACCCCCTTAAGGAGAGTGGTATGGAGAGGAACCCGTTATGGCTCCTCCTGCTCCTCCTCCTATTGTTCTTGCTCTTCTTGTTCTTCCTCGTCCTCCTCCTCCTCCTCCTCCTCCTCCTCCTCCTGTTGTTCCTCCTCCCAATATTTTTCCTCCTCCTCCTCCTCCTCCTCCTCCTGTTCCTCCTCCTCCTGTTCCGCCGCTCCTCGCCTGCCCCTCCTCCTCTCCTCCTCCAGGACCCGTTTCTTCGATGCCACCAGTGGTTGTCGGAAGCAGCCAGCCACGCTCCAAGGGAGCATGCGTGTTTGACCCCCCCCGTTTTCCCCGACGTCTGGGCCGGCGCTGGACATCCAGAGTTTGGGCCTCATGGGCGGCCCCGCCTGTGCATTCGAGCTTGGGCCTCCTGCCGGTCCGCATCCCTCCTCACACTCCTCGGGGGCAGCGTGGAGGGGGGTATAGGCTCAGGGTTTTTTTTCAGCCGGGGCCCTGAAGAAGGAACCCTCTTGGTTGGGCAGGGGCTCTGCGTTCCTTCCGTGCTTCGCGGCTTGCCCCCCGGTTTTCCTCATGTCTTCGATCGGAGATCGAAGTCTGACTTATGGGACAAAGGGGCCTCGTTCCCTATTTAGGGTTCCTTTTAGGTCAAGGCCCCGACTGTATCAGCCCTCGCTCGCCCGTTCCGCTCCGAGGGGGCTCATGTCTTCGATCGGAAATCGAAGTCTAACTTATGGAACAAAAGGGGCCGCGTTCCCTATTAGGGTTCCTTTTAGCTCAAGGCCCCGACTGCATCAGCCCCCGCTCGCCCCCTTCCGCTCCGAGGGGGCGCCCCACAGCCCACAATTGCCCAGGGAGCGTGCGGTTTCGCCGTCGGGCCTCTTCGCCGATCGATCGACGATGTGTATCGCCGATTCCAGCTCGATGCGTTCCCCCCCCCCCGAGCCAGCCTCCCCTCCTCCTCCTCCTCCCCCTCCTCCTCCTCCTCCTCCTCCTCCTCCTCCTCCTCCTCCTCCTCCTAACGTTCCCCTCTCGCCTCTTCTCGTTTTCCCCCTCCCTCCATCTCTCTCTCCCTCGATCTGTCTTCCTCTTCCCTCAGCACCTCCTCCTCCGCCGCCTCCGCCTCCTCCCCAGTCCTCTCAGCGTAACGTGTTGTCTCATCGTGAGAGTGCCTGTTCCACCGATCTCGGCCTCAAGGGGGACCGCGTCTAGAGCCCAGACCCTAACGACGGCCATCGACGCAAGTTGGGGCCACGCAAGGGGTTGAGATGTTCGGGAGCCGTGCGCAGGGAAAAAGCGAAAGACGCCGAACGTATGGATCGCAATTTTCCAATTCTCTTCTTGGTGCCACGTTCTAATATCTGGCCTCCCTCAAATTCAGCCGTGCCACCATGCTGCATCTGACATGCACGGTGCCGTGGCCATCGCGGTGCTGTATCGGGTTAGGCGTGCCGTCGAGAAGCAACGATGGCGCAGGCCTGGCGTGAGGACCCTGGCCTGGGGATGCGGAGGTGGATGACGGGAGAGAGGCATGGGGGGGGGGGGGGGGCCAAATGTCGGGGCTGGACAGAACCCCCAACAGTGACACGTCGATTAGTGAATTGTCCGATTTCGGTTCTCGAGAGGGCGCCGTGGCCGTTATTTTCCAGGCCTGCGCCCGCCAGGTTTGGGCCTCAGGTCGCTTTCACTAAACCACGTTTTGCTAAAGGGAGGTCTGTCCATCCCCGAAAATGAGACACGTCTCGGCGGCGAGCGAGGGGAGGAAGTGAGAAGGAGACGTCCTCCTCAGAAGGCGGCGGGACTTCTCAGAAGGCCGGGGGACTTCCGAGCCTTCCGAGAAGGCCCGCCCCCTCTCGCTTCCACCCCGTGGGCCAGCCGACGAATGTCTGCAACGCAGATCACGCCGTAGCGGTGGCAATCGCAGTCGTCGGCAGCGCTGGCTCGCCAAGCCCGTGTTTGGGACGTCCCCGTCGTGGCAGGAAAATGCCGCGCATGAGGACCGGCAGGAGTATGTCGAGGAATACGATGGCACCGGTTTGAGCTCGCTGTGCGGCCTCTCCAGATCACCGCGCACGGACATGGCCGGATTTCTGGGCTGGGAGTGTTTGGCTGCTTTTCCAGCTTCTCCCACCTCTCCCCCCGCCTTTCCCCCCATTGGAGGTTCGAAAGCGGACACTGGCTTCACCAACAGAGCCACCCCAGGCGAGGAGGTCAACGATGCCTCCCCGAGTCCCCGAGCTGGAGGCGAGGGATGCGTCAGGAAGGGCGACGAAAAACAGCGTCACCACTGCATGGTCCTGGTGTCCTTCTTCCTTATCTTCCTCCTCATCCTCCCCTGGTCCCTCGAGATGATGCGAGGGCTGCCAGTTGGCACGCGAGTCACTGTAGCCCTGTCTCAAGGCAAGGTCCCCAGAAGCATGAAAAGGTCCTCGAGGCTCCAGCAACCGTTCAAGAGTATCACAAGATATCCCTCGAACGTCAAGGGCAAAACTTGGCACATGGGCGTTGCCGACCCCTTTCCCCGAGGGGGGTCCTTCGTCCCGGATCAAGACCTGTCGGCATCATCGGGGCCCGAACGCGTGCCCTGGAATCAGGGAATTTTGGTCAAATTCCCGGACTGGGCACATTTTTATCCGCCCAATTGTTGGTCTGCGAACGACTTGTCTGCATCGTAACGCGTTCTCGTGTCTCCCGAGGCGCTGGCGATCCTTGACCGAGGAAGGGTACGGTACATCTCTTGCCGTCCCCTTGAGTCGACTATTTATGCACCGTACTGCGGTCTGTTCAAGCCGGGCCTGACGGCAGTCCAAACATGTTACGGCGCATTGTCACAATTCGTGTACGTAGCTGTTCGTGGGAGGCATCGTGTTACATCATATTATTTGTTTTACAGAGTCCGTGCCCGTTCAGAACTATTTCCGAGTCATTGTCGTGCCTCCGGGGCCATTGTGCCCTGATGGCGCTAGGACCATGTAGGATGCTGAGCGTATTGCTAAGGCCTTGCGGCCGGTGCCGCCGACCCTGAACGGCGACCTCCAGGATGGAAGAGGCATGCTTTCTCGGGGGCCTTCTGGGGCACTCTTGGCCTGTCTTGGTATTTTCTGAAGCCCGAGGACCCCAAAGGGGGGGATGCGGATGTGACCCCCCCCCCTCCTAACTCCCCCTGCCCCCTGCCCCCCCCCCGACGGGGGAGGGATCAAAGGGAAGGGGTTTCCGTTTGACTCGATTACGACATTGCTAGATTCTTCTCACGCTGACAAGCTTGAGGGGGAGGGTGAAGGTACAGGAAACGACGGAGACTGACGAACAGACAAGCCCCTCACAGAGGCGGCACGGAAGTGGAACGAAAGCAGAAAGAGCATGGAACGAATGCGAACGCTCAATGAAGCGTAAGGCTCCAGGCCTCCTAGATGGGGTCCGAGCAGATGGGGTCGGAGGATCGCGCCGCACCGCCGATGCATCGGCGATGCATCGACGATGCGGCTCGATGTGGAGCCCGATTTTCTCCACGCTGGCGTCGCCGGCACATCGCCGATGCATCGCCGATGCGCCGATGTATCGGCGATGCGGCGCGACCCTCCGACCCCAGCTGCTCGGACCCCCTCGAGGAGGCCCCTCTCAAGGCGAAGGTTCCCAGGAGTGGCCACGCGACGGTGCGCGGGCGCCGTTCTCGGAGCCCTGGGCCTTTCTCGAGGAAGGCGTGAGTCGGGCGTGTCCCTCTACATGGGGGAATGTTCAGAAATAGTCCGAAAATTGTCTGGGGTTGATTCTTGGAGCATCTTTGATTATTCCTGGATAGTGTTTGACTATTTTTATATTTCGTTCAAAATCCACTTGTATTTTACGGTCCCAAATTTTTAGAGATGCATGAAACATAGATTCGTGTAGATACGGCGGCGCTCCTGCGCAGGCCGGGGGCGCGCATCTAAAGATAGGATCTAGATTGTCGTCGTTGCAGAATACAGATACGATGGCCTTCTCGCCTGCGCCAGGGTGCGATCGCATCTAAACGCATCTATGATTTTTAGATACGTCTTGAAGGGTAGGGGGACACGCCCGACCTAGAAGGAAGGGGTGGCGGCGAGGGCGCGGGCCCGCCCCCCTGGCGGCGAGGCGGGTGTCCCTGTACTTCCACCTGGCCGACGGGTCCGACGGCGAGGCCTCGCAGGCAGCCGGGCTCGCGGCAGCGCCCGGGGCCCCCACCGCCCACCACGGGAGGGGCAGATATGACGGGAGGCAAACCGCACCCTTCGCAAACCGCACCCATTGTAGTCACCGCCCACCCGGCCACCCCAACCCGACGCGAAGGCCCCGAATGCTCCCTCCGTTTCCAGTGGGCGGCCGTCGGGGAACATGGAAAAGCACGTGTGAAGCCCATACAGTCGGGGCCATGAAGAAGGAACCCTTTTCGTTGGGGAGGGGCTCCGTGTTCCTTGATTGATTCACAGTTTGCCTCAGGTTTTCCTTTGGTTTTCGATGGGAAATCGAAGCTTAACTTGTGGAACACAGGGGCCTCGTTCCTCATTTAGGGTTCCTCAGGTCAGCGCCCCGACTGTACCTCCCCCAACCCGAAGCCCGGGCCTTCGGGCTGGGTTGGGGTGGCCTGGTGGGCCGTCGGGCCCGGGGCTCCCGCGGCGGGCACCCTCGCGGGCGACCGCTCGCTCCGCCCCCTCTCCCCGAGCTCCGCCCGAGAAGCCCGGCCGCCCGGAGACGAGGGGGGGGCAGCTCGGGGGTCCCCCCGGGGGGCCTCACCGAACGCACCTCCACCGGGCGGAGGCGCCGCGCCCCGCCTCTCGAGGCCTCGAGGCCCGCGAGGAGCGGCCCCTCGAGGCCCTCGAGGAGCGGCCCCTCGAGGAGCGGCCCCTCGAGGCCCTCGAGGAGCGGCCCCATCCAGGATCGAGCCCCCTTGGAGCTGGAGGGCAGGAGGAGGGATGGAGCTGGAAAGCTGCCCTCCTCCTCCTCCTCCTCCTCCTCCTCCTCCTCCTCCTCCTCCTCCTCCTCCTCCTCCTCCTCCTCCCCCCCGGGGTAGATCCCCGGGTTTGGGGTTGGATCGCTGGCTCTGCCGGACGCCCCGGCAGGGTCGGGGGTCGGGGTCGCCCTGCCCCCCGTGAGGCCCCCGGCGGGTCTCCGCCTCCCTCCGGAGGGCGGGAGGGCCGTCGATGCAACGGTGGCCCTCGCCAACTCCCGGGAATCCTGGGTGTGAAAAAAACCAGTGCGCGGAGGGGGGCCGGACATTCCCCGGACGCCACCAGGGGAGAGAGGAGAGAAGTAACTATTCATCTTGTGTCATCGTGGAGGAGGAGGAGGAGGAGGAGGAGGAGGAGGAGGGAGGAGGAGGAGAGGGAGGAGGAGGAGGAGGAGAGGGAGGAGGAGGAGGAGGAGGAGGAGGAGGAGGAGGAGGAGGAGGAGGAGGGAGGAGGAAGAGGAGGAGGAGGAGGGGGAGGAGGAGGAGGAGGAGGAGGGGAAGAGGAGGAGGAGGGAGGAGGAGGAGGGGGAGGAGGAGGAGGAGGAGGAGGAGGAGGAGGACGAGGAGGCAGGAGGAGGAGGGGAGCGAGGAGCAGGAGGAGGAGGAGGAGGAGGAGGAGGAGGAGGAGGAGGAGGACGTGTCCTGTCCTCCTGCCTCCTCCTCTCGTCTGTCCCTGCGCTCCTCCCTCCTCCGCAGAGAGCTCGAAGACCTGGCCAGGGTCGCTCTGGAACCCCGGCACGGACCAAGCGCCCCGCTGTCCAAGGCCAAGTGCACCGTTGCCCAAGATGGCCTCACACGGGCGTGGTGGTTGCTGTGCACAACTCGGCCAGGCGTAAGAGTGCCCTATCGCGGGAGTGGTCTCCGGTGCGGGCCCAAGAAGGCTCCCCCGCTCGGCCGAGCGCGAAGCGGCAGCAGCGTCCTGCGCGCCCAGGCGTGGCCACCCCGCATCCCCGCGAAGCCGCGCACCAGAGGCCCCGCTTGCCTACGGTCGCTCTTGCGTGTAGCCGGACGCGCGCATGTCGTGGATCGGCGCTGGACTCCCCTGGCGGCGCCTCTGGCGACAGGGAGGGTGGTCCAGCACCGATTCAAGCAATCCGCACGGACCTCCGGAAGATTGAATGCATGTTGTCTGTTATTAGTGCTTCATTTGTGTGTGTGTGTGTGTGTGCGTGTGTGTGTGTGTGTGTTCGTCGCTCCCTCCCTCACATCTCCTGCCTCGGGACGCGCCGACGCATCCCGCCACACCCTCCGCAGCCATGGCGGCCTAATCGCCGAAGACAGTCCGCCCATCGCCCGGGCGGGCGCCTACGCCGCACCATGGCAGCGAGAGCCAGCGCCCTTCCTGCTGCGGTCCGCCTCGACGTCGGCGACGACGACGACGACGTCTTCGACGACAACTTTGACGATGACGCTCGACGATGACGACTCTCGACGAGAACGATGTTCGACCTCGGCGATGACGACTTCGACGATCACGACTTCGACGATCGCGACGCTCGACGATCACGACGACGTTGCCATCTCCTCCTCCGATCCTTGCACCTCCCCTCCATCCCATGGAACACCATACTACACTAAGCGTATGAACTTCTGGCGGCCCGCCTGGAGTTCCTCAGTCGGCGCTGTACGTGCAGTGCCAGGGGCGGCGGCCCGTCTTCCCATCTCACCATCATAGGGGGATGCGAAGCCCCTGAAGACGGGACGGGGTGGGCACGAGCGGGCATCATAGCCGGCTCAAAATCAAAAGAGGCAGCATAGCTTCATCAATCTAGATCGATCCACTCACGGATCCACTGCAATTTATTTCCATCGACTTCATTTCATGCGTAGCATGCTCTCCCCGCTCCACGCCCTCCATGGGCGACGCCTCCAGCGCCCCCCCCAGGGGGCATCGTGCTGACTCAAGAAGCCTTCGCGGGCCGCCGAACTTGTACCTTTGACGCTACCTTTCGGTCGTTACAGTTGGGGCGTTGACCTAAGGAACCCTAAATAAGGAACGATGCCTCTTTGTCCCATAAGTTAAACTTCGATTTCCCATCGAAAACATAAGGAAACCCCGAGGCAAGCTGCGAAACAATCAAGGAACACGGAGCCCCTCCCCAACGAAAAGGGTTCCTTCTTCAGGGCCCCGACTGTAGCACCTCGCCGCCCCCCTCCTCCCGCATCCTCAGTTCTCAGTCGGACGGGGCCAGGACGAGAATAGGTCCGTTCCAGAACGCTCTCAGAGCATTCGGGGACGCTCTGAGAAGGCCGCGGCGCCCGAGGCGTCCTCCAGAGCCGCCCGATCTCAGAGATTCTCGATTCATCCTCACCCGACTTTATGCTCGTCCTGGCGTCGTCTTCTTCAGACGTCGCAGCAAAAAACAAAACGGGCTGATGTTCTACGAATTCGGCCTCTCCAGGCCCGTTCGGGGGCCCCGCTGCGTTCAAGAGGCGTCTCGGGAGGACTAACGCCAGCCCCAGGGAAGGGGTCGAGAGGTCCAGGCTTCAATGTCGTGTGGCCTTTCTCCCACCTCATCCACGGACTAGATTGAAATTTGCATTCGTAGGCCAACTCGACGTTTGCCCTGGGGTCCCAAAACTCGGATGAAACTTGGGTGACACTTTTTTTTCACTCTGGCCTCAAACTCTGACTAGCTCTACAAATCCCCTTGTCCCTGGGACCCATCTGGTCACCGGATGGCTCCCAGGGAAAATAGGATTCGTTCGTTGGTTTGTCGCCGCTTTCCGCCTACGGGACCCTCCTTGGGACCTTGGATCCGTATGAAGATCTGGCTCCAGAGCGCGGGGGTGTCCAGGACTCGCTTCCTTCGGGACCCCTTTTGTTCGTGGCCAGGCCTGCTCTTTCCCCACCCCCTTTCCCGGGCTTCGAGTCTACATACTTCTTTTTGAGCGTTTTGCCGTTTTTGTGCCTTCGCAGGCGTCTCGGCTCCAAGACCTCCAGGGAGTTGTTTCCCCTTCTCCTCCTCCTCCTCCTCCTCCTCCTCCTCCTTTTCCTCCTCCTCCTTCTCCCCCCAGCCGTTCTGGCCCAGTGTTTTGGGTTTGGTGCAGCTGTCTTCAGAACGGCGCCGCTGCACCGAGCTAACTTGGCTCGTCCGATCAGCTCCCGAGGGAGCAAAGAGAACCACGAAGCAGGTACCGTTGCCGCGATGGTGCCTGCACCCCAGCAAGCGGTGCTCCGAGGCCCGAGGCGGCGCTTCTGGGCATGTGGAAGGTGCTCAGCGGCGGCGAACTGGGTGTCGAGAGTCAGATGTGTATGCGGGAATGAAGCGCCACTTCGGATCAGGAAGGCCGCTATGGATGCGCATAACAAGATCATCCAGGAAAAAGGCGGCCCGACACCTTCGACGTCGGCGAACAAGAGCAAGCAAAACCAGAATGATACGAGCAAGCGGCTGGCGGAGCTGGAGAAGATGCTTCGCGAGCTCTGTGGCAAGAGCGGTGGCGGTGCGCCCCCGAAGTCGGCTGCAGATGCTCCACGTCCATGGAGCAAGGCGGTGCCCACTAAGGATACACTGGAACCGATCAAGCTCGAGGACGATGATAAAGTCAAGCGGGAGAAGCTGGCCGCTCAGCTCTTGCAGTACGAGGCGGCGCTCAAGACCCTCCCTGGTCAGGATGATGATCCCATCCTATCGGCCATGCTTGAGAAGGTCAAGGGCATCAAGGAGCAGCAGCGTGCGATGCGCACGCCGGAGATCGCCCACAGGAGGACGGCTCAGGACTTGCACAAGGCACGTGCTGCGCGTGACAGAATGGAAACAGAGATTGCTGAGAAGCCGGAGCAGCTTGCGAAGCTGCAGGAATCTTTGGCGACGCGCAAGGCGCAGCTGGAGGCCAACAAGATTGAGACTGACACGCTCGATGCAGAATACAAACGGACGGCAGCCCTCATCGCTGACGGCACGACTGCGGCGGCCGCTGACGGTGATGGATCCAATGATGCGGAGATCAAGCTGGAGGTGCAGCCTGAGGAGACCGAGGATCCCGAGCTGCAGGCCGTCCTGCAGTCCGACCAATGGAAGAAGCTGCAGACAATCCTCGAGGGCAAGGTCAAGGCTGCAGGGGCCGCTCTTGGTGGCAGCGCTGATGCTCCAATGCCTCAGGCCCATGACGCAGGTGATGGAGAGGGAGAGCACAAGGAACCAGTTAAGCGTGCTTTGATGAGCTCTCAGAGGAGGAGGCTAAGATGCTCTTCGACTCCAAGGGTGGCTTCGCTGCTTTCCAGGGTTAGCTCAGAGAAATGGCTAAAAAGCAGCGGTGCTCCTAACGTAGACGAGATGCATTCAGAGTTTGCGAACATTCGTGTGTCTGGACTACCCCATATCATTGGGCAAGTCGAAAGTTGTTCAACAGCCTGCGCTTCAGGGATTTAACACGTTCGAGTCTTTCAACGCCAACGGTGGCCGTCAAACATTGAAAGTTTAAGCCACTATATCCAATGCACATGTGATGTTGCTGCAAGAGATTTGATACCATAGCGATTCGATTGAAGCCTTATATTTGTGGACATCTGCTCGGGGTGGAAGATGATGACGCCCCCAGGCATTCCTACGAAGGGCATCACGTCGTCAGGAGTTGAGATCCTGACCCGTAGTGATTTTGGGCTCCGTGCGCATCCTGACCTATCCCATGAGGTTGTACCTCATCGGCTCCAACATGCAGTGATAGATATCCCAGGATGGCCTACGATTTCGTTCATGAATGCGTACCTCGAGGACTCCATCGGGGCCACGGGGATCAATGCAGTGTTGCTCGCGCGAATGGGCTCTATCTTCAGCAAGGTACCTGGGCCTTGTCTTGCAGGAGCTGACTGGAATATGCAAGTTGATGAGTTGGAGACCTCAGATTTCCCCAGGCTGGCCAGCGTCACGATGGCGGTCCCGAAGCAGATCACATGCCGAGGGGGAGCGGGATCGTCAGTAATCGATTACTTCGCGGTGAACGATGTGATGCTGAGGGGTTATCGTGGGGCCGAAGCGGGTATGACGTGGAGTAAAAGACTTCACAGACCAGTGATGATGAATATTGTAGATAACGGCATGAAGGTACAGCACTTCGTGCACACGGTGACGCCGACGCTGCCAGTGGATCAGATCATCGGACCCCGAAAGCAGCCGACGGACTGGTCTACATTGCAGGCGCTGGCTCAGGCATGCACGGGGATAGCTCACGATGACAAATGCGACGTGGAGATGGTATGGCTATTTCTGTCCAGAGTGTGGGCTAAGTTTGCTGTGCAGGCTTCGAAGGTCATTGCTGATGCGCCGGGTGCTGATCTTCGAGAGTCCGATGCTTTGGGTAGAAACCTTCGGCCCCGATGGGCGGATGTTACTTATCAAGGGAAATCAGAGACCAAGGTAAAAGCTGAGGCCGATGGCTGGCAGTGGCTCTCGCACTCGATCGGCACCATCCTGCAGTTGTATCAGGGCACGGCGCAGATGGAAGAGTGTTCGGAGGAGATAAGGAGTTTCTTATCAACGGAGTACTGTGGCCAAGGACTGAGTGGGCGACTAGATAGTACTGTGGCTCAAGGTCGAAGCGAAGTTGGAGCCATTCCCATGGATTGTCGCCGCCTGGAGCAGTTTCTGGATGACATACTTGATGATGTGGAACGAGCTCAGAAAGCACTTGGACGCGACGCTGACCGTCAATGGGCTGAGTGGTGCGTTGAAGCTTCAGCCAAAGGGGCATGGGCTCTCCACAGGGTGACCGAGGTGAAAGCGATCCCCACGCCAGTGGTGGTCAATCATGGATCTACTGTTGCTGGTGATCCTGTCACGGCGGCGAAGAAGGAAGTGGAAGACGATCGAAAGCTTTGGGCTGCATCTGACGCAGCACCCAAAGCATGGGTACCTGACAGAAGCTCGTGCCCTCGATTACCGGCTAACGAGATTCGGAAAGTGGCTTGTGCCTTCCCGAAGGGCACGGCCTCGTCATTCGACCACTTCCATCCGCGCCATGCGCTACTGCTGGAGAATGAAGGATTTGATGTTCTCTATATGATATGGCAACCAGCGGGGGCGATTGGGATGTTGCCCAAGCAGTTGTGCTGGATACAGATGCCGATGCTGCCCAGAGCGTCTGGAGGGAACAGATTGATCATCTTGCATGCGGGAATGTATCGGATATGGCAGCGGGCACGAAGATGGGTGATAAGTGGCATAGCTGACTCACTCGAGCGCAAGTTTTGGGGAGCAGGCAAAGGACGGTCAGCTATTGATTGCGCTTGGCTGCCGGCGGCAAGAAATGAGGCTGATCGTGCCGAGAATCTTCACTCGTGGATGTGGGTGATTGATTGGTCCAAGTACTACGAGTCTATTCCCCCGCGCGAGCTCAAGTACAAGTGT